AGGAGGATTGAAGAAAAAGCACGGGGAGATGAGTATCACGTACGAAAGTCTGTTTCTTCACCGCTTGTTGCTTAGAGCATCCGACGATCTGATTCATCTTGAAAAATCTAACTGAAGATGATTTTCATGAGAAACGGATTGGTAGCTGATGCCTATTCACCGCGTGACGGAACGATCATCTCTGAATGCTCTAGCTATGTGTACCTGGTCGTAAACCAATATGATGAATGACTTAGCTGACAGAGCTGAGCAGGATGAAGCGAGCGGCTTGGGGAGCCTTCAAGAACATCGAGGGAGTAGCGAAGACGACGAAGACACCAAGCTCCGTGCCCACCTCTTCGACTCCGCAGTCATTCCTGCCTTGACTTATGCTTCAGAGACTTGGACTCTACGAAAGGAGTATGAACATGCGGTTGGCGTTATTCAACGCGCCATCGAAAGGGCGCTCGGAGTTTCCCGCTACACGCAAGTGAGATAGGGAATCCGGAGCTCCACACTCCGCAGACGACCGAAGATCAGAGACGCCGCCGTATTTGCCAAGGATTCGAAGATCAAGTGGGCCAGGCACGTCATGCGCTTGGAGGACGACCGCTGGACCAGAGCGATCACCGACTGGATTTCACGGGATGTCAAGCGAACGCCTGGACGAAGCGTATGCGATGGTCAGACTTCTTCATGAAAGCTCTGAACGAATTTTATTCATCGTGTCCCTCGAGCAGAGAGAGTCCATTGGGCAACTCTTGTACGTTGCAGGGACGAATGGAGATGGCGCCCGCTCGAGGGACTCGATGATCAACGGGAGCACAGGTGACACAGGTGATACAGGTGTCAGTTTTACATTGTGGATCTAAAAGATGATTCATTCGCAACTTGCATTAATTTTATCTTCCTGCTGATCTTGCACTTTAGCTTTTTTCCCTAAGTAAGCTGTACCATTCGCTCTTAACAGTCGCTTCATCAAATGTCACTGGTAGACACGCCTCTTTTGTGAGGTTCAAAACGTCTACCATGTACCGTTAGTTTGGGTTTCTCATCTTTCGTTCCTATCCTCCTGTGTCTTATTTTTACCGCGTCTCAATAAACCTGTATAATTGGTATACTATATGCGGCGTGTAACAAAAGTATGTGAACGCACCTAATTCCGTCTCAACAAGAACACCTTTTATGGATCTTCACTATTCGATTCTTTGGGTAAGGAAACATCGGCATACTTCACTTGGCAGCATCTCGTGGACGTCTTCACGTTTTCTTTTATTATTGGCAAAAGTTTTTTGTACCAAAGGAAATGGAAACTTGGGAAGAACAAACATCTTTGAGGTCAGGGTCTGGCAGCTCCTAAATTAGGCGCAGTTTGGCGACGGGGGAGGGCGTTTCGCTTTCCATCGATGTGTCGACGCATCTAGGTAGCCTTTTGACATGTTTTCCCATGGTGACTAGACGAGTTTGTTCCAGTTCCACAAAAGTTCACAAGTTTCACCAGAGTAAACCGGAAGTAGTGAAGCAGTGCAAATGCAAAATGCCCCCCCCCCCGTCGTCAATGCGCCCTAAATGATTTTCGGCTAGTTTTATCCTTTTAACAGGCATGTTCCTGAACGAGAGTTCTCATGAACGCCTCGTGTATAGCGTCTCAGGCAGCGCGTGTTGCCACCTGCAAGACATGAACCGCATAGCACTGCCGGCTCTTGTGAAAGATACGCTGAATCGTGATCCCTGGCGTTTTCAACATGATAGTAGTCAGCAGAACATGTAACAAATCCACTAGATAAGTGCCGTTCTTTTCTTTCTTTTTCTTTTCAGAAGGAATCAAAAAAGAAAGAAGAAATCTTTCCTTTGTTGGGAACGAGATAATTGCGCCCACGACGTCCTGCTGTAGAACATCTTCCCTGCGTCGCTCATTCATCAAAAAGAGCGGAAGGTGGGAATCAAGCACTTACTCGTCCAGGCTTTTTATGCTTGATGTCGGAGAGAGCGGCTTTATTTTCCACTTCCTCCAAAGCCATAGCGTACCCCATGTACATCCGATCCAAAGTTGCTTTCCGTGGACATCAGGAGCTCCTACGAAGGCCACTCCAAAGTCGCGAAATGCGTTTGGAGCGTCAGCACTGGAATTTTTCTATCCAGGAAGATCATCTCACTAGCTCTATGATCATGAGATGTTGTCCGTTTCAACATGGCACTTCTACCCCAGACTTCAACTTATGTGATGATGTACTATTTTCACGACCAAACTCTTGCCTTGCCATCTCATCCTTGCCTCTAGACACTCAGTCTGGAAGCACTCTTCACGGTGGTTTGTGAAGCACATTTATTCGACCGGAAAGCGCTCAGAAGGGTCATTTTAAGGTGACCAAACTTTTTGAAGCAAATTTTCGACCAACATACCGAGAGTTATCTGAGACTACTCACGCTGCCGTTTCTTTGCTCTAGGAAATTAGAGACTCTGGATAGTTCTATTGACTAGTATTACTTTGTAAACGTCAGGAGATCACTGTTAAGCATGTCTTTCACAACAGCCGGCAGTGCAATGCGGCTCATGTCCTCCTCGGAGGCAGTATTTGCTGCTTGAGACGGTGTACACGGGACAACCATGAGGAATGTCGCTTAGGAGCATTTCATCAAATAGCGAATTTTGCACAAAATCGTATTTGAGCCACTAGACTGAGCCCAGAGATATTTATTTTTTTCCTGAGTGTCCTCATACTTTTGGTACAAAGAGACATTCCAGTAATAAAGAAAATGTGAAGTCACGCACGAGATGCTGCCAAGTAAAGTATGCCGAGGTTTCCGTACCCGGGGAATGGGTTAGTGACGGCCCACTTTGCCAGAATCAAAGGTGATCCTGAAGAGTCGAATGGTCAAATTTGCACAAATTGGTATTCACATAGTTCTGTTTCGCACTGTACAAGGTTCCGTCTGCGTTCGTGGTCTACCGTGGTCTACCGAGGCGGGCTGTATGCATGGACTCCCTCCAAGCTAAAACTATTAGGTTGGAAAGAAAGTCCTTTGCCACTTTGAGAAAATGCTCCAGGAGAAATTCGAAAAAGATTTCAAATGTGTTTACCTCTGATTTGTAGCGATCGTGCTCTGCGGTTTTTGTAGACGGGGATATTACGGCTTTGCTTCCAAAGCTTAGAAGTCTCCCAGAAGTCCAGTTTCTTTTCGACCTGTTCTATCTTTTGAGTTACTGTAGGGCCACTTTGTCATGGTCGAGGAAGACAACACCTGCGTTGTCTTTAGGAGGGATCTCGCTTGCCATGCCCCAGTGTCCCGCTGAGATTAATGCTTGCAAGCTAGAGTTATTTTAATTAAAGTTAGGCAACCTATAGGTCGGCCACCAGCACAGATTGACGGCCGTTTACTCAACTCCGTGAAGGCGCGCCGAACCTAACCGCCAGCAAGTTGGGGATGTCTCTAGGCTGCACCTAAATGGCAGCTATCATGTTTCTCTGCATACCCGATCATAGGGAAAATTTTCTGTGAAGGATGCTACGTGTATGGCAGCAGTCTGTCAAGGTGAGCCGAGTAGTCGTGACTGAGTTTTCTCTTCTTCGTACGCACTGGAAGGACTTTCCGTGAGATATTGTAGTCTGTACGCAGAGCTGGGTTCTTTGCGTAGACCGTGCACATATCCTTCACAGGATCTCTCAAGGAGAAAAGTGCCTGCTCAGCCAAAAACAAATGCATGGAAAAAAGATTTCACTGTATTACTGGTGAAACTTCATAGGATCCACTCAAAGAAGGTGCCCCCAAAATTCACAGCACAAACTGTAGCAAAAGTGGAAAACTGCTTCTGTCAAGTAATTCGTCAGTGGTTAGGGAACATTGGGTGCGGGAGATAGGCTGTGATATAGTGTCCGATGAGGGCTTATAAAAATCAGTCTCTGTTTGCAACATTTCTCTCCTTGCGACTGACTTGCGACCACCGTCGTGCAAGAATCAGTGAGCAGAGGATTAACGAGTCTACATGTTCGTATCTTTTAGCGATACAATCAAAGTGATTTCACCGCTGACCTCTTGAGATTCGGCAGAAAGGAATGCCGAAAGATGGTTGGCAGTGAGGAATGATAAGAGCCACCGACAGGATACATGGAAGATGCTTTACCATTTCTATAATAAGAAAGTTCTAGGATATGAAGACAAAACTATTTAGACTGCTAGGCTGCCCTATTTCCAACAAATGGCAAGTGTTCTTAGAGGTGTGGTAAGCGCTGCACATTTACAAATGATCATTGGTGAAGAGAAATATGGAGGAGTTTACACACTGAAGTGAGCAGAGGAAACACGGAAGTCACGCAAATGGTTTGGGGTCAGCCTAGAGTTGTTGTATATGATCAGGACCATAGGTTGAACCATGCGCGCAGAAGTGCGCGTTAGCCAAACTGGTGATAATTAACCGAGCTCGGGAAGGTGGAAGATTTGGTTGGCCCGGGTGGGAGCCAATACGTATTTGACCTCCGTATCACATGATAGGCAGCGCCACTTGTCCGTAGACCACTTCCGCCTCCTGAGTTAGTGTTTGCACGCAAACTGACAAAGGCTGCTTATCTGGTAAGCTCTGTGGTTTAATGGGAATAAGTGCAGTGAGTGTCAAGAGCGCAATCCATAAAATTTGTTAAAACTATTATAGACTTCTGTTTCTCCCTTGTTTGAGAAGCAAAACACTGGTGAAGGCCAGTCATTGTCGAGCGCTTCATGTTTCATGAAAAGTTGTTTGTGCTCGTTTATTTCTACTATCTTTTTTCTTCATAAGCTGTAGATGTGCACTAATCTCATCATGGGAAGTAAATATGTAGAAGAGAAGTCAGTTGAGTACCATCACCTTTATCCGATAGAGTGCCTTGCCGACGGAATCGGTGAATCCGAAAAACTGAGTGCGTAGGAGGTAGGTTTTCATGGATAGCTGTGCAACTCTTGCCCTATTTAACCGAAAAAACTTTCCTTAGTTTTTTTTCAAGTGGTGAGAGTGAGTACTGTGTTAGGAGTACGGTATCTGTTTGCAGATGGAAACGGCCAATGGAAAACCAACAAGATCAACGAAAATTGGTGGCACATGGGCAGGAACGAGTGATTTCATTGATATAGACAACCTGGCGTCGCAGAGCACTCCTGTGAAGCAAAGTCCATCACTTCATCAAATACAAAAGAACAAGCAAAGTAGGCGCGTCTTTTTCACTAAATCAGGAAAAAAATAATAGAATGTGAATAACGTGGCATCAGAAAGCAATATTTCGAGTAGAAAATAAGTAGAACAATGTGTTGAAAAAGTTCATCGAACATATATGGTTCTTCCGTCCCTACCTCAAGCGAACTTTTCATCTCCGGGACAATTAAGTGAGATCGAAAAAACAAAATTAAAGGAAAAGATTAACCGAAACTTAAGGGAGGTTGTCGTGTAGAGCTGAGGCATAGAGACAATAGCTTCCGTGTAAAGAGAGAATTAGGCAAAGACTGTATATAGAGTGGTCAGTAAACACAAGAAATGGGGACGGTTTATAATCAATTTTTCGGTATCTAAGCTGCACTTTCGCCTCGAAAGCTGCGGATGCTTACAAGAGAGGTCGTTTAGAGCGTGCCCCGCTTTTTCAAAGTGGTTCTTTGTCCTTTGTAGGGCCTTGCCCATGAACCATAAAAGTGGGCTTCATTTTCGCTGAACGGCTCTTAGAATGCAAAAATGAGCGAAAAAGGAATCTGTGGAAACTGATTCTTTTTGAGCTTCTACAGGCTTCAAACCGCTTGAAACTTTGACCAGTTGCTGAGTGGAAGGACCCTATAAAGGTACCATTGGAATCGAAGAGAAAAGTAGTCGGGGAATAGGGTCTTACTTGCGGCACGTAATCAAAAGTGAACGGCCTCTTGGAATGATTTCTTCAACGATCGGAGCAGCGATCAGCAACAACGATCGGCTGGCCTAGTGGGTACGTGAGGGATTCTCAAGCGGACAGTGGGGGGGGGGGTGGGGTTCATGGTTTGACTCCCCTCGGCGTGCGAGTTTTTGTCTATTTCTTTTTATGTTTTGCTGTTTTCGCGTTCAAATGTGTCTGTGCGTGAGTATGAGTTTGATAACTGCCATTTATGGGCACATTTTAAATGGGGAAACCCCATGAATAGGTGCAATTCAATTAATTAAGCTTCTGCGTACATTGAGCAAGACCGTAGTTGAAAGTCGATCTTTATAAGTCAGACAATGCCCGAATCACGAATATGGAACTCAGTTGTAGCTATGATGCCATTTACCGCTAATATGGAGCCACATGTATCTTCCAATGAAGGTTAGGTACACACATGTAACGGACGTGCAGCGCAACGCTACACGGCGCCCATTACATCGGGGCCGAAAATAAGTGTCAAAATCATGATCAGGGCATTCGATTACCCCTGTACAAGAAGTTTCGATCAGAAAATTTTTTCGACTTTCTTGGGTTGTGCCCGACAGTCTTTCTGTAGAAGTCTACAGTGCCTCGCCATAGAGACCCCCTACCTACGGGCATCCTTATCGAGCCAGCAGACGGTAGAAATTGGCCAAGGCCCGGAATCCTTTTCCACAAATGCTTCTACCACCCACACTGATGCCGGGCATGGAAGGACCTTGGGCGCACCCTTGCAACACGGCTGTCCTGCCCGGCGGCCTGCTTCATCGCCAAGTCATCATCTTTACGATGATGTGAGACTCCGATAAGCACTGCCGACCAAATGATCTACCGCAACCCGAAAAAATCGAAAAATTTTGGCTGGAAGTTCGTCTATAGGGGTAGTCGATAGTCCTGATTACGATTTTGGCACTTATTTTCAGCATCGACGCAATTTGGCGCCAGTATAGCTCTCAACGTCTCTCACATGGAGGTACGAAGGTAGACGTACTTTTCGCTCCTTTTTTGGCGTTCCTGGGGCCGCTCGAAAGTGAACCTGACTTCTGCGGTCTATGTTCAAGCCCTCACAAAATTCAAAAAGCTGTTTTGAAAAAGCGAGGCACGCCCAGAACGACCTTCCTCGTTAGCGAATAAAAGGTTCATCTCTTTGGGTTTATCTCTTTGAATTATGGCTAGTTCCACAGGCAGGTACTTCATTGTGTCGTGAAACTGCTAAGGCTGCGTTTATACTTTGCGGCAGCGTAGCGTAGCGTAGCGCAGCGTAGCGTAGCGCTTCCAGCGTACGCCAGCGGCAGTGCCGAACGAGAGGATGCATATCGATCTAGCTTCACCAGCGTCACCAGCGGCACGCTGCGTACGCTAGCGGCACGCTAGCGTACGCCAGCGTTTCTCCAGCGTTTCACCAGCGTTTTGCTAGCGTTTGCAGCCACAGGGAGTAGAGACTATGGGAGAGCTGGAGGGTAACAAAACACATCGATTGCGCTCTCTCACTCGCCTATGTCTCTACAATGCACATCGCTTCTGCGTCTCCGACGGCCACATAGTTCCTACAATGCACATCGCTTCTGCGTCTCCGACGGCCACATAGTCTCTACAATGCACATCGCTTCTGCGCCTCCGACGGCCCCATAGTCTCTACAATGCACATCGCTTTCTGCGTCTTCGACGGCCACATGGTCCTGTACAGTACACGGCGATTCCCGGTCTCTCACGGCCACATAGTCCTCTACTCCTGCGCTGGAAGCGCTAGCAAAACGCTGGTGCCGCTGGAGAAACGGCTCGAGAAACGCTGGTGAAGCTAGATCGAAGCCTATGCTTCCCGTGCCTGCGCTACGCCATGCGTGCGCTAAGCGTGCCGCTGTGACGCTGGTGAAGCTAGATCGATATGCATCCTCTCTTCGCACTGCCGCTGGCGTACGCTAAGCGCTACGCTACGCTGCGCTGCCGCAAAGTATAAAGCGCAGCCTAATGTTTTTATCAATAATTCGTTTCGTGTGCTTGATTGCCAATGATCTTACTGTTGTAACAATTTATTCACATTATTTCATGTCGTCAACTGATTGCTCGAAAATCAGTCAAAATTTAAGGTTTTTCTTACATCCGCTGCCAAATGTTTCTCTGTGACCTTATACACACGTGAATCTTAGCCTCATATCCAGAAATCATGTAGTTGTGCGCACAAAAAAAACTCGAAGCGAACAGAACTCAACTCGAGCTCATAAAATTAATTAACATATGTGAGTAACATGGCTGGAATGTATACAAAATATGGGCTACAACCTTGAGCCGCTAGAAACTGAAATTCATTTCAACTCACGGAACATTGAGTTTATCTTGATCTAATCTAACTATCTTCTAATAGCGCATGGTTGACTCTCATGTAAGCAGTAAGCGTCTTACCTGTTATTTTCAACACTACTATTACGTCCCTAGAATGTTAGGAGCGTTCATCAAGTGCACCAGATGAGGAAAAACCGGATATTAGTTGAGCATTAGAACATACGAAATAAGATAATTGGCGGGAATCAGGTATTTTGCTTGACGGCCCAAAACACGTCTACTGTGGGCGGGTCTCAGCGCGCGCAGACACACTAAACTCTCGCCGCATGTCTCTCTTCTCCAAGTTTTTTTTCTAATCTCGCAAGTCACTCAGGTCCCAATTATGGAATTTTCGTAGCAAGCACCAACTATCTCGAGTACGGTCCGCCCATTCTGAGGATATTTTTCTCATTTCGTCCGCCAACCCCTTGTGTCCAACCTCAACCCACTTGTCCGTGCCTATGCTGCTATGCAACCAATCATGGATTTTTGACTCTGGATCCGCTCACCTCACATGCTCCGCCCACAGCAGGTGTATGCTTCAGTAGCTAAGCTTTTACAACGTTTGCTCGCATTTTGCCGGCGTCTGGAGTGCTCTGGAACTGTTATCCAGGTTTTTGAGTTTGGCCCCTTCTACTTGAGCCGTGCTCCGCCGACAAGGGTGTATATCGCAATTCTTGCAAATTTCCTTCCTCGCCCCACCAAACTGTTTTTCTCACATAGAATCGAATTTCGGAAAAGCAAACAAACAAACAAACCAAACAGACTTGACATATCATATGGAGTGGGTGATATTATAATAGTTTATTTCTGCTAGTATGATTAGCTGCACTGGATGTATGAATGTCCTCTTTGTAGCTCTTTGCCATTGCCAAGAAGTGCCGTCCTTATAAGCGCTCTTGTAGCTGGTGCTCTCTCCTTCGTTTATGTTTTTTCCTAACGATTTTAGCCGGAACTATCGGTGATCTCTACTTGTTCAGCGTATAAATAGGAGCTTTATCGTTAATAAAATTATGTATCACTAAATAAAAATTAAAATTACCCATATAGTTGGAGCCTTGGATTTTAGTGTACAACTTGGTACTTAATCTTTATCATTTACTATGGCTGATTGCAAATGTAAGTGATTAGTGATGCTTCAATTTAACTATTTTCTTTTTCAGTTCTACTTATAGAATCAGCTTTTCGAATCACTACGGAGATCAGCTTTTTCCCCCACAAATATAATACCTCACTTTAGTCGGGAAAAAGAAACAAAGTGCCAAAATGCTTTCGAAGTTCATATTGTGTAAGGGACCCTGACAAAAGTTTTGAACTGCTAAGTCATTCGTCCTTAATCTCACCCGCTTCCACAAAATCGGCTTCTTTGCTCCTTTGCTGTAAATGTTTTGCGGCCTTTCAGTATACAGTAGCGGTGAACTTTCTTGCCATTACCTTAAGTCGGAAAAATTACAAAAGTGGAGTTTGTTAGGAATGGTAAACAAAAGAAAAAAACATGTAATGGCATTAACAATTTGCTACACCGGTGGAGTGACTGATCGTGGGAGAATGGAATTTTTTTTTCTGTATTTTTGATTTTGAATTCTTTGCTGACGTATAAATTCCACACTTGTATGAACCACAATCTTTTGAGAACACGTCTCGAATATCGATTTTCTAGCAAGACTCACAAATAGAGCTCACATTCATTTTTGCAATGCAGTGTAGTTTTTGTACTCTGCAATCAATACATAACTAAACCTGAATTCTATAAGTAGATTGATTGAAAAGAACTAATTAAATTGAAGCATCCACTAATCACTTACGTTTAGCAATCAGCATAGTAAATGATAAGATTAGTCCAAGTTGTACACTAAAATCCAAGGCTTCAACTATATGGTAATTTAATTATTATTTAATGATGCATAATTCTATTAACGATAGAGCTCCTATTATACGCTGAACAAGTAGAGATCATCGATAGTTGCTGGCTAAAATCGTAGGAAAAACTGATAAAACGAAGGAGAGAGCACCAAGCTACAAAGAGCGCTCATAAGGACGACACTTCTTGGGCCTTGGCAAAGAGCTACAAAGAGGACATTCATACATCCGGTGCAGCTAATCATACTAGCAGAAATAAACTATTATAATATCACCCCACTTCATATGATTTGCCACGTCTGTCACATTGAATCAAGTCTTTCATACATCTCCGATCCACCGGCAGTGAGAAGGCGATTGCGACTAACAACGCCGGGACTTTGACTTCTCCTAGTATTTTTGCTCTACTCAACACCTTCATTCCTTTCATCGACTCTATTGCGGACGGGCTTTCTCAGTCATTTACTACCATTAGAGAGTGACTGCTTTGATCGTGGCAATTGCGGTGGGTCGCGCAATCGGACAGTCACGCTGCTATCGCAAAGACAACGCTGCCTAATGGTTTACGCCGTATCTCAAGGACCGTTTTGCCACTGGCTAATGCCGTTTGGACTCCAGAAATTTCGTCTTAGAGCTCATTTTCAAATTGCCTAAGTAACCAAATATACTAAAAATTGTACATTATATAGGGGTAATTCAACATTGATCATGAGTATGACACTCATTCTTGGCGCTGGCGCCAATCCAAGAGAGGACACTACGATCACCTCCTGGGCTCAGCCTTAACAGAGCGCAGGTAACCGTAGTGTCATCCATTAGCGTCAGCGCCAAAAATAAATGTCATATTCGTGATCAGGATGTTGAATTATCCCTATATACAAGTTTTTAGCAGATTTGGTGATCTTGCCACTTTTAAAATGAGCTCGAAGACGAAATTTCTGGAGTCCAAACGGCATTAGCCTTTGCCACAGCTCAACTAGACACTACGAGAAATTGCATCTCTGCCCTTCCAGCAAAAAAGTTATTTCATGGTAATAGCAGCCTGATATAGCACGCTTCGTAATAATCTCATGTCAACTTTTATACTTGTTATCTTTCACACGCTGTCATAGTGAATTGAGACACCAGCTTTGATATTTCCGATGTTGCTTGGATATTCCCATTACATTTCGTGTTATAACAAGAATATTCAACATTGCGATCTGATGACCAATATTTCAAACAAATATTCGTAGTACTGACCCTGTTACATAGTTATTGAGGTGCTTTTCTTCAGCTGACAATGAGCACCGCTGATGATCAAAACGGGAAAAGTTTGAATTTGACAATATTCAGTGATATTGGGCATGCATTGCGCCTTGAGTTGTGATCAAAAACATGTGATGGCATCATAGGTGACTTGACTTGTTAGAATTTATACAATTTGCATTATAATGCATTATTGATATTGTAATAGCGTAGCAATCATGTTCGTCAGCCTCTGTATTCTCGCTGTATCGCGAATTGAAAGGAATATGTGGTGAATTCGAACTTGTGAGCTGTTCCAGCCATATATAGAGCTGAAATGTCTAGGATTACTCGTTAGTCTGACCTCCATTTCTGGTTTGACCTGGACCTAGGCTGTTGTGCACATTTTCTCAGGAAAATGAATAGATTTTCCGTTTGTTCAGTCGATGAATATGAACTATGCACTCTTCAATGGTTTTCAAAATTCTTGCATACTGTGCCTTTCGATTTGAATTGTTTCTCCGTGAAATTGTATACATGCTCTTTCAAGAGTGTACAGACTTGCTCGGAATAAAGCCCTGACATAAACAATAACGTTCTCCATATTTTCAGTCATACAGTAACAGCATACTCGTTATCGCTGATGTGCATCATATCTTGGTGCCAGAAATTTCATGAAGGTAGAACTGTGAAGTAATTGAGTCAACTGGAATTGGCAGTGTAACTGTTTTTTTTACTTCATGTTTTCATAGGGTGAACCGTATGGAGCCGTGTTGAACCTAGTTTTAGCGCTACGTTAATCTGTAATGATGTCAGCGGTCCATATTTCACATTTTTATTACTAACGTATTGAATCTTAATTTTATTCAGCTACACCAGCTGCCGCGAGCGGACATTCTATTGCGGCGACCAATATCGTCCGAACCGTTTTCAAAAAGCGCGCCACGTCCAAAGGCAATCTCCATTAGGCCATCCGACCCATGCTGAAGCGTGCAGCTCCAATCGTTGAAGAAGCCATTCTAAGATACCATTTACTCTCAAGCACGTGGCGTACGTAAGACCCCATTTGCGAGTGATTGTGATGCAAGTGACTTACAGCGCATAGAAGCCTAAAATCAGGCAAATTCCATAGATTACTTTTTCACTCCTATTCTGGTGTAGTCCATGCACTTCTCCCTACATCATGCAAGAACCGTTTTCAAAAAGCGCGCCACGTCCTAAACGACCTCCCTGGTAAGTGCAGCCAGTTAATGTCAAAAACTCACATTTGTGTATACATGTCAAAAACTC